CTGCGGGTGCAGACTGGCCATGCGCGCTGAGGGATGCGAAGCTCTGCCAGCTCACAGCCTCTTTTGGCCCTAAAAATGCAGCACTTGAGCTACAGAGAAAACACAGGGATGCAAGAGGAACAGCTCTTTCCTGAATCGTGGCAACAGTTCCACTGGTACCCGGTCATCAGAGACCCCATCAGGCAGAACTCCAAAACCGCCTCGCACGCAGAGGAGACTTTCCCAGTATTTTTAATAGCAGGTCAGCAATTACCAGACAGCCACGACCCCTCTATTTGCTCCCACCATGACCCAGGCAGCTTTGTTGTACACCTTCTTGGTGCTATTTTTATCTAAGTTACTAATTACACATTACCTATATGTCACCAGGCTGATCGATATGAGTCTGAGGAATCAATACAGATGTGGATGACGGTGCTGTTTGCTGTTCAGAGACTGCAGAGCTGGGAAAAAGCAAGACACCATCGATCCCAAAGGTGGGCTAAGATGAAAGGTGGGATGGGAGGCACAATGGGGGCAGTGACCACATGCTGCCTTCCTAAATAACACTGTGACACAGGCAGTGGGACAGCCTCCTGGCCAGAGGGCAGCCATGTCCCCCAGCATGTGCCTGCATCCCAGGGCTGGGGCAAAAATCCCACAGCACTCCCTTGGGAATGGTATGGTCCATTTTAATATTGGTCCATTCATAGTCCTTGGGACGCAATTAATTTAAAAGATTCTCACTGATGATCACTGTCTTAAGTAATCACAGGCTACTTCAAAAAGCACAGGGTCTCTTGCATATTGCTTTGCTGCTTAACTAACCAAAAGCTGAGGCCATCTCTGTAATGCCACTGTGCTTCTGCCAGCAAGAGGGATCTTGGCTGCAGAATGCAATCAAATTTTGCAGGAAGAAGCTCTTGGGACTACCATAAAACAGGATTAAAGTGCGACTAAGTAAGGGAATTGTGTAATGGGGTGTTTCTGCCTGTCTTGCTGGAGCCTTATGACTGTTCTGATTCTGTCGTAGCGATGCTGGGAAATTGCTCTTTGAAACCAAAAGAGCCTTAGAAAGGCACAGGCAGGTCAGGATCATTTGCCCTCAGCACTGGGATTGTCTTGAGCAGTGAGTTGATGGTGGTAGGATCAGACAGAGAGCAGCGTGGGGTGAAAGCAGAACTCTCCCCGAAGGCTTCGCTCATGCTCGACTGTGCCTGTGCCCTCATGGAGGTGCAAAGCTCTGCAGCCTCCTCCTGTCGGGCTGCTTTGCAGGCACATCTTGGGGACCAGGGAAAGGTCAGCAGCTGGGGGGCAGCTGGGGGTGCAGCCACTTACTAACCACCAATGGATTGGCCACCACTCGCCAGCAAAGCAAGAGCCCTGTGCCTGAAAAGTGCATGGTGAAAAGCTTCCATAAAGCAACATAATCCTTTTTTTTATTAAGGCTTTTAGGGCAGCCAAAGGAGCTGCAGAGGGAGGCTGCGGGTCCCTGCTGCCCACCTACAAAGACTTGTTGCTCTTCCTAAGCAGCAGATGCAATCTGCTTTGGTGCCAGAGCCTGGTCGCCAGCAGCTTAATCTAACAGCAGACCCATAATCCTTCCCTTAGTCCCACAAGACCCAAAAGCAGAAAGCTGCCTGGATTTGCTGTTTGATGGGGTTTACTCAGCCCCTGCTCAAATCTCAGTTTCCACCAGTAGCAAGCCTCACTGCCCTGGAAAGGCCATTCCTGTGGGAGCACTGATGCTCCTGGGCCATGCTGGAGACCTGGCAGAGGCTGCTCTGGCTCTCGGCACCCCTTGGCCTTTGGGACACTCCTCTAATGCAGGACTGTGTGGGCTGCCTGTGACAGCCCTGCTGGGGTTCCCTGGGGCATCACTGATGGGTGCCCATGGGCAAATCCAGTGCCTGAGACACTGCAATGGCCCCATGCTCCTTCCAGCAACTTTGCCACTGGCAATCCTTGAAAACTGGTCTGAGAGCTTTGGAGAGATAAACTGTAATGTCCAGCTATAAACCTCAAGCCTCCCTGGCACAGCAGGAAGCCACCAGAGAGGTTGTACAGGCACAACCAGCCCTGGAGAACATCCCCTGCCCTCCCCTTACAGCCCTGTTCTGCAGGAGACATTTCTCCCTGGAATTAACTCATGTTTTTAAAATGCCAGCAAAGAGACTTTTGCTGAAAAATGATAGTGGCATGATTTCAGCTGTGCACCCATTTGCACTCCCTGCCCCAGGGTCCCTCTCCATCAGCAGCAATAGGCTGCAGCTGGGGGCTGGGTCCACCCCACTGACCCACACATAAATGGGGCCAGCTCAGTTACCCTAGGCTCTCTGGGGATGCTGCTGTGCAGGTTTGGGAGGAGGTATCACAGCAGAGATTTAGTTTTAGTGAGCTGGTACCATGTTTAGGGAGTGAGCCCCATCTCTAATCTCTCAGGGGCAGCTTTGACTTTGCTTCTGGGGTATGAGAGCTGAGCAAATGTTCTGTGTTTTATCCTTCCCCCTCTCCCTGTTGTTCTGCTGCTCATTTCCTCTTTCATTAGGGATTATCCTCTTGTTATTTGTGTGGATGTGTTTGGGGTTTTTTTTAAGGGGTGGATGCCAGCCATCAGGATTCATGTGTTCAATGTATGGTGGCAATTAGCCCAGCTCTGAACCCTGAGAGCATGTCTGCATCTGCAATTAATGCTCTGCTCTATCTGCATGAGGTTTCTATCTTTCCTGTGGAAAAGACACAACTTGGATCTTGAAAAAACAGCAGGAAAGCGTTAAAAGACATAGTGTGAGCCTGACTGCCCCTTGCTGTGGGGCTGCTCTCAGGATTGGGTCTTGTTTGGTTCAGCTTGGCCTCTGCACCTGAATTTATGTGACTGTAGCTCAGGGCATCTCTCTGATACAGCACCGAGCCTGTGGGGACTGATTCTGGCTCTGCTGGTGCCTCTGCTCGTGCACTTTATGGTGTTTCATGCACCTGGCCCTTTATTGGGAAATTAGATTGCCTAAGTCAATGTTTTATAGTATTAAGCTTATTTACTCATGCCTTTGGTGCTCTGCAAAATACCTCAAGGTTTTTTTTTTAGGATGGTAAAATCAGAGCAAAATTTGGATTTTGGGGGGAAAATGTCAGGACAGGGAGAGGGAAGGTGTCTGTGGGATCTGCTGCGCGTCAGAAAAACCCAGGGTGTGGGAGAATCATGGCCCCCTCCTCCTTCCTGCTGCTTTGCCAGCATCTCATGATAGTTTTATAGGGATTCCTCTGGCAGAGCTGCTCCCACCTCAGCCCCCCCATCAGAAAGCTGCTCTACTAAACCTCCTGGGCTTACTCAGCTTTCCTTCTCTTCCATATAAATTCATCTACCCTAAAAATCCTACTTTTCTCTCTGAGATAATGTGATTTTTGGGGAGGAGCTTTGCTGTCACCCAGCTGCTTGCTGGGCTGCAGCTGATTTCTAATGAAGAGCTTCCTCTGGTGGGGGGGGGGGAACAGGGAGAAAAATTAGGAGGGGGCAGGGGGGGACAGAATTTCTGAATCCAAATACATTAAACCATTTAATTCTGTTGACTCAGGGCTGCCTGGCTCTGAATAGGAATTAATCCACAGCAAACCAAAATTAAAAAGCGCAATACAAAATGCTTAGCAAGGCATCACCAGGGTTTAAAGCAACCCATTAGCTTGCTCGAACGTACCCAGTAAATTTTCATTTGTCAATAATGCTTAGAGCCGACAGTTTATTTACAGCCTGTTCAATATTACCAAAACCTCTCAGAGCGCCTCATTTGTATTTATCTGCCACAGCCCGTTTCCTTTCCAGGGACTCTTCCTAATCCCTTGCTTTGCACCCGCTTGTCTCTTGTTGCAGAGCCAGACGCCGTGGGGATGTGCCACCACCTTAAGCAAAGGTAATGCAGGATTATCCCTTTCCAAACTTCTCTCCTGCACAGGAGACCACCTGGAGCCACCTCCCAGTGACCCATGCCATCCCCAGATTGGGGCTAAGACAGGCTGGCACAGGGCTCCTCTGTCCTGCACCCAGGGCACCTGTTGGCTGCAGCAAACATAGGGGAGTGATGGGAATCCCCAAACTGTGGCATCCAAGGGATGCATCGGTCACGAGCGATGGGGCACAGGCACGAGCAGCTGCCTCCATGGACCCACAGGCACGAGCAGCTGCCTCCATGGACCCACAGCCCATGAGCTGGAGCAGCCGTGGCTAACGGGCCAGGCCCCTCCATCTGTTCCCAAATCGGCTCCCGTGGGATGAGCCCTGGCGAGGAAAGCATGTAACAGGATTTCCCCCAAAAGCCGCTTGAATGCTGCCAGGCAGATAATGGAGCCTGGCTGGCCCTGAGGATTTCTCCAAGGAAAGGAGTTTATTCTCGGGCACAGACACAAATGGGCAGTTTAATCTCCTGTTGTGGCTCGTGTCCAGTTGGGGTTGTTTGGCCCGACACTTCAGCTGCCAGAGATGCAGCTCCCTGCAGTGGAGACTGGCCTCAGGTAAGGTTGGTCCCTCAACAGGGATGGACCTTCCTCAGCTGCCTGCCTTCTCCCCTCTGCGTTAGCACTTCTCCAAGGCAGAAGTATAAGCAATTGCAATGGAAATATAAGCAAATGCAGCATCCAGAGGGCTGCCAGGGAGAGATGTAGGACAGGTTGGGTAACAGCCTGTCTTGGGTGTAAAGCTCAGAGAGGGAAATCCCTCCAGAGGTTTAACTGCAAGCTCTCCACCGCTCACTGCAGCCCCTGCCCTGCATGAGAGCTTGAGCAGGGGGCAGCAAGCAGGACCTGCAGCCCAGGCTCTCTGCCACAGACTTGTGTGTTTGGGCAGAGGGGATTTTCAGTAGATTTTCTAAGGGTGGATGCAGGAGACAATTGCTTAAGTGTTGCTTGCTTTTCTTCCAGTGCTGGTTTGCAAGCTCCTCTTGCTGCTGAGATCCAGGATGCTGTGAATGACCAGGCAGCACCCCAGGGAAACCCCATCTTTCCACCCAAAGAGCAAAGTCCCCATCACTTGCCTGCTGCTGTCTGCATGTAGCCAGCCAGGGTGCAGACTCGCCTCTCGCAGGCTCCGCCGGGCAGTAGGACAGCAACGATGGCCAGCAGCGAGCTGAGGGCCAGCAGGACACAGCCACCCGCACACAGCACGGCGCTCGTCTGAAAGGACACACAGGGTTGTCAGCGAAGTGGTTCCCCACCACCATCCCCACAACAGCTCCCCACGAATTCTCCCTCTTGAAGTGAGAAGTGGGGCCCCATCATGGGCAGCTTCTCCCACCCCTTCCCTTCCACCTTCTGCTGCTTAAGTTCACTGGTAAGTCTGGAGCGGTTCACCCGTCACCTGGTCCCAGGGGTTATTAGAATTCGGGCTATGGTGATAATAGCAAACGTATTATGTGCATGAAGGGCTACATCACTAATATAAATGCCATTAGATCCCTGTGACACATGTCAGTGCTTCCACCAGGAGCTGAATCACATCTTGTGATGGCGCCCACCCCTTCAAGCCTGACAATTAGAAGGTATTTTGCCAACGATGCTCCATGGTGGGGAACCTGCTGCTGCAAAGGTTTCATTGCAACCACCCCATCGGCCAGCTCACCTCCAGCAGCTCCACTGGCCTTTCCCTGCAGCAGCTGTGTCTTTGATTTAGCCTCTTTTGCAACAAAACTGGGTCATTTGGGGCTGTTATTCCAACCCAGCTCATGCTGTGGGATGAAGATTTGGGATGCTGGTGGCTGTAGGAGTACCCAGTGGGGAGCGTATTTCCCAGGGTCAGGCACAGTAAGGAGGGGCAGTGAAAGGGGACCAGCCTGTCCCCCTTCATCCCTGGCCAGGGTGGAAGCAGTTTTGCTGTTTAATATTCTGGCTGTAAGACTCAAACTGCATCAGCATCTAAAACTGGGAAAAGTGCTATTTTATGGCAAAACTGGTCACCCATGCACACCCAACTGCTGCATTGTTGTTGTTTCTATTCCCATTGCAGGTAGCATTCCCACCCCTGCCAATGGGATGGCACTGGCAGCGAGGTGGTCCCCATACCAGAGGGGACATGTGCCAGCCCAGCCAGGGGCATGGGGTGACCCATGATGGGTGCCTCCTCCTCCAGCATCCAGCTCATGGCAGCCTTCAAACAGCGCGAGGGCACCTCGGTCCCAGCACTGCAGCAGCCACGTCAAGTCCTGTAATTTCACAGCATTTCATGGCAAATTCTACAGAATGCTCCTGGCTTTGGTGAGTCACCCTGCAGTAATGTCAGTGTCTTGGCTTCCTCAAGCAGTAGAGCTGCAAGACAGGTCTTGGCCCCATTTTCCTAATAACCTGTGCAGGAGCTGTCATAAGGGGTTCAGGTCCCACCTCCACCCACCTTTGTCCAGCCCTCTTGACCTGCTGAGATGTTCTGGTTAGAAATGCACATTTTTCCTTTTTTACTTTTCTCCCTATATTTGAGCTTTTGGGCAACCACGGTTACTATAGGAACAAACCCAATACGTATTTCCATTTGCTTCCCCTCACCAAAGAGTTACAAATTAGGAGTAAATAATCTGCTAAATCCAAGTTATGCTGCAAGAACCACAGGCAGGCTGAGCGGGAGAAGAGGAATTGAGTATATGCTGTGATGGCTATGGGGGGGTCCAGCTAAAAAAACCCTCCAGCATGAGCGGTGCTGCCCCACAGGTCTGATACTGCCCCACAACTACCTGCCTACTGCTGAGCTGGTTTTTAGCAGCTGGACTGGCTGGTGCTGTGGTGGCAAAGCTGCTGCCTGCAGGGTCCTACCAGGGCACTGCCACCACTCTAAAAAGGGAGAGGTGGGTGCTGGCAGGGGATGGGCCAGGGCAGCACCGAGAGTGCCCTGACACCCCAGTGTGAGTGCTGCCCCCAGTGCTGTGCAGTGCTTAGAAATCAGCATCTTATTTATAGCCTATTTATACACCACACAAGCAATGCAAATGCTGTCCCGGCAATAAATTAATTCCTGACATGCAGTGTGAAGGCACGGCTGTGCAAACAGCTACCCAGAGAAACAGAAAGGTTGTTTCAGCAGGGACTGTGGCAGCAGGGCTGTCTGCTCCTCTCCGGTGCCTTCCAAGCCACCGAGACCCAAAGTGCTTCTTCAGGGCAAAAGAGACAAGGTTGGGACACCCCTAGCAGGGACCAGCCCCCATCCCTTCCATACCCACAGGAGAGACCCATGATATTTGGGGTGAGATGGGGGACCCCATCGCACAGACACCCTCCCGGTGCAGGGCCCTGTGGGGAGAGGAGCCACAGCCCTGATCCCGACTGCTCCCAGGGCAGCAGCACAGCGAGGAAATACGGATGCATTAAAAAAAACCTGAAGGATTACTCTGCCCAACGTCTGAATTTCACCTTCCACCCAGCAACATGCTAAACCATCCTCCTTTGCGAGGACCATTAATTATTTAGAGCGATGAATTTTTCAGCAGAAAGGGGTCTTGTGGAGCAGGCTTGTTCCTCTCTTGTGTAAAGCATATTATTTTTAATGATCTAGGTTCTTCTTAATTATGGTAGCGAAATCCCCTAAAAACTTGCAGCTCCTGCTGGAAACAACCTGTGAGCCACTCAAACTGCTAATCCCTGAGGAAAGGTATAAAGATGTTTTTCAGGACACAGTGCCAAGAAAAAAGGCACAAACAGGGTGGGTGCAGGTGAGTGTTACACTGAAGGAAGAGCTGGGTCTGGTTCAGGTCCTGCCATCAGGGTTCATACAGGCAGCAGCAAGACTGCAGGGTCGTGGGACTGGCAGCACCCTGATGCGTACAGGGGAGGCCAAAAAAAGACCAAATCCAACCAGGGCTTGGCAGAGGGAACTAAGGTCTCACTTTGAAGAAATGTGTTAAAATTCATGTGCGTGAGAGCCATAGGTAAATGGTGAGGTTTGGTTTTTGCCGCGTGGGTGAGGGATGCTGAGTCACTGAATGGCCACTCTTGTAAACCAAAAATTTTGCTTTTGTCATAACCTTTCCAGGGCCTTGGCTGGGAATTATTCCAAGTGCTCCTGCCCTGTACTGGAGTCGCACCTGTAGACCAAACAGCTGCTTCCAAAGAAAAATGATGAGCCTTAAGTTTGAAGGAGTCCATGGAGCAAAGGTACCGACCAGTAGCAGCTAAAAACCCGCTTCTTCCAACCGCACAGCACCTCCTTCTCTCCTCCCTGTTTGTGCCTGTTGCATCTTGAGCGGAAAGGAGAGGATGCAGGAAACAGGATGCAAAGGCTGAAACCCAAAAATAGACCGGGGGGGAAAACAAACGGGATGCATCAAGGCCGTCTGTGAGAGCCCAGCTCAGGCTGGGACAGGAAAAAGCTCATTCATCACAGCAGAGAGCACAGCTCCCACTGCAAAAGCAGCCAGGGAGAAGCAGGACCTCACTGCCTGGTGGGCTGCCTCTCCCCAGGCATCGCAGACCCGTGGCTGTGCAAGGGGAGACCCCCCAGAGCCCAGGGCTGTGAGCCATCCTGCCTCCGCCACGCTGGGAAATGACATAAAACCATGTCAGATTTTCTGCTCCCACTCTCAGGGAGATTAATTGTTTATCCCCAAACAAATTAATAGTCCCCTGGTGGGACTGTAAATATGCCTTTATGTAGCGTAATAAATTCCGATTAACAACAATCCCTTACCCATTATTTTAATATTTTACAGGTCTGACACGCACCATGGCTATGCCATTCACTAAGCAATAAATCTGCTGAAGATGCTGTTTCATGCACCAAAAAAAAACCCCAAATTAAAATGTCACAGAATGACCATCCTGGGAAGAATCACTTAATAACCGTAATGAAAATTTTAAAAAAATAGTTAACCCGTCTTCTGAAACCAGCATCCATGATCTTCACAGTTTAAAGAGAAAAGGGCACAGGGAGATAAAAAATGTCCAGTCCAATGAGTTGGTGCTAAGAAATGGTACCTGATGTTTGACTTTGCAGAGATTAACTGACTTGACAAAGCTGCTGCCATCACATCCTGTGCACTGAGTCACACCATGCCAAACTTTAGTTTATTAATGCAATTTATTAATTGCAACTTGACCACCCCTGAGAGCTGCCATCCCGGATGGCACCATGGTACCCAGAGCAGCAGGGTGAAGGCAAGGTTACAGACTGCTTGGGTATTTCAGCCCTGTTCACATGCTTACACATCTTTGCAAATGGGGGCATAAAATAAATACCCTAAATAATTAGGAAATAAAGCTGTGGGCTAAGTGAGAAAAAGAAAGAGTGGAGGTCACAGCACATCTGGCTTTCTGGGGTTTTCTGTTGAGGCAGAAAAGGTCTGAGAAACCCCAAACAAGCTGGGGGAAAAATGGCTGTAAAAGCAATTGCGAGGGAAGAAGGGGCAAAATTGATCGAACCGTTTTCTTTTTTTACATGCAGTTCTTTCCCATCAGAGCTCTATGTGATTAAATTTTCATTTAGGAAAGATGTTTTGGGGTTAAACTGGATAGTGGTATGCCTGGAGAGGCAGAAACCGAATGGACACCGGAGGTTTTAACCTTCTTTAAAAAATAAATCAGTGCTGGGTGGAGGTGCTGAGTGGGGACCTGGGGTGTGGGATTTGCAGCAGTGCTGGCTAGGACCTGGGAGGCTGCACCAGGTAAGCTGATGCAGATGTTGGCAGCTGCATGGCTCAAGATGCCCCTGGCCAGGCTCCTGGTAGGGGAGGAGCAGCTGCCACCACCTGTTGGAGGCCAAATAAAGAGTGCTGGAAAGGATCAGTGCAAATACTGAGATTGGTATCTATCTGCAGGGCAGCAGCAGCAGCACTGGAGCAGCGAAGCCACCTCCTTTCCACCCCAGTGCCCGACGGGGTCTCTGCGTGTTCCTGTGCCCCATGAGTCCCTGCCACCAGCACCATGTGGTCACCAGCTCCTCCGCTCATCCCAAACCTTCCCAGGTGAGTTTTGCACCAGACCCTAAGCCACCTGTTTTCATCCACACCACGCTGGGAGAGGCTGCCCTGCACCTGAAACAGCAGTGCAGGGTGTGCGAGGGAAGATCTTGGTGAAAACCAGGAATAATCCACCTGGGCACATGAAAGAGGCGGCTGCCTCTGCAGGAGACGCTGCGTGCGCAGGGGTGGGTGGATCGAGCCTCGCAGCTTGTTCGTATTTCCCCCACACAAGTCACAGAAACAAACATCCGCCATCTGGTCGGCATTAAAGCGACGGCCAGGAAGAGGATCCCACACGTCCTCGTCTTCTCCTCCCTGGCAATTACCTTCCTTTCGGTGCCATCTGAGAGCTTTTTCCTTCCTGTTTGATTTCTCCCTCTCCATCCTGCTCCCATGCAGATGCTATCCCCTGCCCAGCAGCGCTGGGAAGTGCCCAGTGTTATTCGATGGGAATGGTGGGAGCAGGTCCAACCTCCCCAAACCAGCCGGGCAATAATGCAGAGCCCCAGGGGATGCTACCAGGGAGGTGGCTGATGTCTAAGAGTCCCCTGAGCTGGGGTGGTTTGGGCTGGGGCACAGGGATGCAGAGGAGGCCAGAAGGCTCCAGTCCCCATTTCTTCTCCTTCAAATGAAGGAGACCTGTCCGTGCCACAGCGTGGGGATGGCGGGGGCTTCTCCTCAGCCCAGATTTAGCTGCTCACACACAAAATCCAGCAACTCCCCCAGACACAGCTCAGCCAGGCCTGGCCTTCCAGGTAACTTTCCCACTTTCAAGCTAATCAGGGTATTCAATGCAAACACCAGAGGGGTTAATGCCCAAAACGATTGAAGAAAATAAAATGCATATTTTTTTAATTAGGGAGAAAATAAGAGACAGATAATATGTCTGATGAATTACGGCTGTCTTTCTTCCAGTGCCATTGCATCTGGGGACTCTGGAAAGCAGTTCCTAATGGCACTGCTTTATCTAAGAGGATGATGGATAGTGGTGAAAGAGGGAAAAAAAAGGAAAAAGTAAGACATTAGCACATCAATGGTGTGCCTGTGACCTCCATCAAGGGATGCGAACCAACTTAATGAAATTTTAATTAGGCAGCAAGCAGTGTGCTGTCGCTGGGTACCAGATCAGACCTTCTTACCCGCACTCTGTTATTATCCTGCCTTGGGATAAGCCCTTTCCTGGCGCTGGCAGCAAAGCTGGGCTCATCGTCCTGGGCTGGGGAACACCCTGCAGGTCACAAAGCTCTCCCATCTGGCTTTTCCTTACAAAGCCAGTGGAGAGGAACCTGAAGGGAGTGGGACTTGCAGCCCCAAGAGGATGGAGCGAATGTCCCACCATCAAAATGTCCATGCCATGTCCCCAGCACCCTGAACCAGACTCTGCTCTGGGTCTTCATTCAAGGATAAATGCAATGTTCAGCCCGAAATGTCTCTGATGCGCCCAGGCAATGCCCTTCCCAAGGTGCAATGTTCAGGGCTCACTGTTTGTTGAGAGGGTTTGTCACCAGCACAAGCTGGTCATCACTGTTGCAAGCCACCACGTCTCAGCTAAGCACCAGCTGCTGCCCAGGCCTTGGCCCTGGCCACAGAGCCCAAGTAGTGACCCCATGGATAATACCCACCTCTCCATGCCTTTGTTTAAGCAAAGCAGCTTCCATCTCCTCCATGCCTTTGTTTAAGCAAAGCAGCTTCCGTCTCCCATCGAGAGTGGAGTCAATAGAAATAATCCCAAGAGCAGCCTGTCTGTATTTTCAACCAACTTGACCTTCCACAGCACCTCCATAGGCAGGTACCACCTCAGCACCCATTTCAGCCCAGCTTAGTGGTGAGTGGTTCACTGGTCAGTGAGTCCTGGTTATAGTTTGCTACTTGGGCATTGAAGCATGTGGCCACAGCCCAGGAATTACAGCTTTCCCCAACGCCAGGTATTTTCTGTTCTCGTAATGTAGGTCAGAAAGCTCTGGGTGGGTAATGAAAGGAGATAAAGTCTACTGCAAAGTAATATGCATAAAGGGGAAGAGGGTGATTTCAAGAATAGCTGAGCACTTACACCTCTTGCCAAGGTCGTGTAAGTGCAATTAAAAATCAAACTGACTGGTAGACAGAGTGAGCCAGGAAGGATCTGCTCTCTTGGGAAGTTCTTAGGATGAGGAGCTAAAAGTTGATTTTCCGTTAATCCCAAATTAACACGCTGGCCCCCCCGAGGTAGAGCAGACTTTGCCCAAAAGCCAGTCTCGCAGGTGGGTCCCTGCTTGAGTCACGTCGAAGGTTGGGAGCTCCCAAAATACTGAGCTCTCCCTTGTGCCAGGGTCTGTGCTAGAAGGGGAGAGTCTCGCAGGTGGGTCCCTGCTTGAGTCACATCGCAAGCTGGGAGCTCCCAAAATACTGAGCAATCCCTTGATGGATTTTCCAAATATCTTCCCACCTGTGTGAGCACCCCACGTGCTTTTTTACTGGGAACAAGGCTCTCATAGCTCTGCAAGTGTGACCCCAACAGACAAACCTCAGATTACATTGGGAACCCCGTGCTGAACTGACACAGTGAGAAACTGGCAATGAAGGTTTTATGAAACCTTTCAGCATTTCCTAATAAAAGGGTGAGCAGGTTTCCTGTGCATTTTCACCAGGCTGAATCTCTTCAAGTCCTGCTATGGGTAAAAACCCAGGAAATACCCACTCAAGGGAAAACCTGGGGCTGTGCAAAGCCTTCCCCCCTGTTCTCAGTGGGTTATTTGCTGGGAACAAGGCTCTCATAGCTCTGCAAATGTGACCCCAACAGACAAACCTCAGATTACATTGGGAACCCCGTGCTGAACTGACACAGTGAGAAACTGGCAATGAAGGTTTTATGAAACCTTTCAGCATTTCCTAATAAAAGGGTGAGCAGGTTTCCTGTGCATTTTCACCAGGCTGAATCTCTTCAAGTCCTGCTATGGGTAAAAACCCAGGAAATGCCCACTCAAGGGAAAACCTGGGGCTGTGCAAAGCCTTCCCCCCTGTTCTCAGTGGGTTATTTGTGCTCTGCTCCAGCAGGGCATTACTGGCTTCATAGGCAAATGGTCCATGTGGTTTTACCCTGAATACCATGGGCTGATCAGCTTCTTTGTTATTTTAGATTACATGCTTGGCAAAGCTTGAAAATAATTGGAGACTATCTGGAAAAATAAAAATAGAAATTTGAAATGAAGCAGCACTAGCTTCTGAAGTGCAGCATTGAGACAGGAATCCATGAGCCAAATGCTCCCACTGAAAAAGAAAATAAATGAGCTCAGGATAAAGCTCTATTTTGCACGCACACATACCCACACAGGGATCTGGCACCAAAAAAAGAAAAGTAGTGAGATGTGATGAAGCAGCTGAGTGCTGAAAAGCTCACCTGTTTTTCCCAGCTCTACTAGTTGGCCTCCCAAGAGCAACCCCCTCTCCCTCTGGTGCCTGCACCCCTTGGGATGTCCTTCTCCAGCCCTGATAGCTCCAGTTCCTCCCACAATAGATCCTCCTTTCCATTACTTGTCCATGTAAGGGTCCTGCTTATAAACTGGCTGTGGTCCCTGGGCAATATCACCATCACCATCCTCTCTCCTCACCTGGCTCCAGCCAGACCCTCTGCAATTTTCCTCTCCTTCATGGTCTCAGCCTGCATGAGGCAGCCTGGCCACACCATCTCCAGGAGTCAGGGATATCTTATTATACCCCACCCCATCAAACCACCATCGTGATGCTGAGCACGGCGCAAAGCCCCAGCAGCCTGAGCACCTACAGGGTTAAATTAAAGGTATCCATGATATTAGAGAGCTGCAAAGTAATTATGAAAGGAAGCAGAAAAAAGCCAGCAACTCTAAGCAGACATGAAGGCCCTCTTAAGAGAAGAAAGGCATGTTAATTAACCTCTAGACATGACTCAAAGCATCATTTGTAGCATGATTAACATAATCCCCCAAGTGCAAACACACAACTGGCATTAACGATCATTTGCAGGGCTGAACGCTCCCCCACCCCTTCATCAAATCGGCACATTCGAACGGGGAAACGTTTGAAAGGCGGTAAGCGTGCACGTTTCAGGAAACAAAAAGAACAACATTCCCCGGGGATGGACATCCCGGCTGCGGGCTGCTCCCACCCCCTGTGCGCTGCGGGTGGGCATCCTCCCCAGGTGTGCTCTCAGCATCCTCCCTGGATATGCCATCAGCATCCTCCCCAGGTGTGCTCCAAGAATCCTTCTCAGATGTGCTCTCAGCATCCTCCTCAGATGTGCTTTCAGCATCCTCTCCAGATGTACTCTCAGCATCCCCCCCAGATGTGCTCTCAGCATCCCTCCCAGATGTTGGCTTTTGCTTCCTTTGCCCCCACAACCACAGCTTCACACCCTTCTCACCAGCCACCGCCACTCCAGCACAAAGCTGGTGGCTGTTTTCCAAAGCTCCTAGATTCCCATCCACGTTAGGCTCTTGCATTTATAGAAGGAGCTGCCCACAAGATGGCTTGAAAGATTGGAAATGAAAGTCACAAGTTCTGAAAGCAAAGAAAAAAGAGCCCCGGTTTCCCCATCTCTCCAAAAAGGAGAGTCTCCTGCTTGAACTTGTGGACAGGGCTCACAGCACTCAGCTCCCCCCTTCCTGAGCACCGAGGCGCACGGGTTCGGAGCGCTGCTCATGCACGAAAGCCAAAGCTGTTGCCTGCCTGTGCAAAGCTGTCAGGGATATTTTATTATATTCCACCCCATCAAATCACCATCACAACAGGTATTCTCATCCCCATCGCTGTGGGAAGCTGGTAGAGGGGCGCTTTCCCCTGAAAGAGACTGCACTGTTTGTTGTTCATGAGTTATTTGGGTGGTATCGCTGAAGGAGACAGGGATGTGTCACCAAAATCCCCTGTAAGCTCCACTCAGTACAGTGATATTATTCATCCCTACCACAGCCCGAGCTCAGGAGATCAGAGGCTTTGCGTTACGTTATATTCTGGATCTAAAGTGCTTTCCGAGGCTATTAGAGGGCTGAGGCTGTGTGTAGCTGAAGCTTGTTCAAATGAGTCACTGCTGAGCTTCAGTCTTATCTTTAAAGTTTGTTATTGCTTGGAAGTGTTTATCTGAACTACGTTTGCAAAAACAGCCGAACAAAGGCCAACTTACGGAAACGACAGCATTTTTTGCACGTTTTTATATAAATAGGAAGGATTTTATGCAGCCGGTTCTTTTCTTTGCAGCTCACGATGTTTGTCTTTAATGACAATTTTAAAGACCACGCTGGGATTTCAGCAAATCGCCCGCAGACCTGGCATCCTCGGAGAGATAACAGCGCAGCTTCACGGCAGGCTGAGAAATTCAGCTACTGACACCCATTGTGCCGGGCACAGCCACGACCTCGAGGGGATTTAGCCCTTGTATTGGGGATTTCTGCAACATAGCGACCAGGAGCCAGTCAAAGCCCGTGAAATCACACCCACAGCCTCAGGGTAAGGAGCTCAGAATAAAAGGAAAGGAAGGGAGAGGAGGAAGAAAGGGCAGGGGCAAGTGATCGGTGGGATGCTGGGGCCAGGCTTTGTGTGATCCCTGCACACACCCAGCGGGGACAGGCGGCTCTTTGTCACCCCGAGACACCGCAGCAACCCCAGGTCCCACAGGGCAAGCGGCCACCTTCCTCCCCAAACTTGGCCAGGGCATCACCCTGGGCTGGCTGAGCAGGGGAATGGCCACAGCCCCCACGTCCAGGCTCCGTGTCTGGCTCCATGTGTCCAGGGACAGCAGTGTCACCCACCTCCCTGCTCCTCTCCTGCTTAGCAAACTCAGCCAGAAAGTGATGCTCCATGTCCCTCCGGGGAGCCCCAAACCTCTCCCCTGACCCACACAGGAGCTCTCCCAGGGGGGTGGGAGGGATCTGAGGTGACAGGGTGGCCGGGTCAGACCTGCGGCACCACCGCCACGGCCAGGACCTGCACCGTGGCCACGCTCGGGCTGCACTGACCGCCAGAGCGGCACGAAGGCACCTGGGGGTTCCCCTGCAGCACCCCAGGAGCAGCCAAGTGTCCCAAAGAGGGATGTGGCCCCACAGGGACCATGGGACACCCAGGGGGTGCTGAGGGGCAGGACACGGGGGCACGCAGGGGATGAAAGGGATGGTTGAGCAGCACGGGGGGGATGCAGGGGATGCTCGGGATGCTCAGGACAGGTGAGGGATCCTGGGGGACAGGATGAGGGGAAGCTGGGGAGCCTGGGTGAGAACAGGGGATGCTGGAGAGATGACAGAGAGGGGGACTTTAAGGAGGACAGATACTGACAGCCTGGGGCAGGTCTGGGGGGGTGTGGGAGGGATGATGGAGGGGGTGCCAAGGAGCCGAGGCACGTCGGAGGGGATGCCGGGGAGG